TGGCACAATGTCAATGCATATCCTAGTGTCTGAGGGACATGTGGCCTAGGGCTGACATTTCAGTGAGGTAATAGCAGGTTGTAAGTTTTTCTTATTAGGATTTCCAACCCTGTAACCTCATCTCATGAAATAATACACATTTTTAAAAAATAAAGAGACAATTAAAGTATGTAGATATAGACCATCTATATGTTTGGAATAAGTCAAAAGTCTGGAAACCCCACCAGTAAATACTAAATGCTGCAAGAATATAGTGAATTTTCTTTTCTTTTTGGGTAAATAGCTTGTCCTGAAGGTGCTGCCGGTTTATCCTTTGGCCACCATGTGCTATATGTAGAAGGCTATTCAGAGAGCTTTTCTGGCAGTTTACCTGTAAAATGCTTTTAGAGTAAATGAATACCTGTAGTGACATATAAGTGAATATAAATGAGTGTAGCAGGGAGGAATCTTAAATGGCACAGACTGCAGGGATTAAATGAGGAGCACTAGGTTGTTATACTTATCAGATAGAATCCGATTTGTCAGTGTTGACAATGACTCTTTTATGCACACAAAAGTTAGTCATGGAGTTTCACAAGGCTCTGTACTGGGACTGATACGCTTCGCTTTCTGGATGCTTCCTGTAAGCACCATCATCAGAAAGCACCACATACACTTCCATTGTTATGCAGTTGACATACTATGAAGTCTGATGAATCTAATCAATTAAGCCGTTTTCATATCTGGCCTGTGGGTAAAATCCAGATTTGGCTACGGACTTTACTTGCAGTTTGCACAACACAGCTGTAGGTCGCATTCACAAGAGCAACACATCCGCAGAGTTTTTCAGGTGAGAGGTGGTGCAGCAGACGGAGGCAGGAAGTGACATATTAACTGTGAAGATCACGTGATTTTCTTGACAACACACATACACCCTCGTCAGCTCTGATCACACCAAACCCTTTTGACACATTTGCCACCGCTTTTTCAACCAAAGATATTTATAGTTTCTTTTCTTTCTTTTTTCATTTGGCATCTGTCGTGTGTTAGAAGCGTCATCAACCCGACCCCCAACTTGTTTGCGGTGAATCCAGTGGGGGAGTCCCTGCTATGTTCTCACATCTGATTCTCCTGGATTTCTTCAGACATTTGCTTTCACACATGCACCTCCTCCAGAGGAACTGAATGCGTGACTGCGTTCAGTGCTTGTCTGGAAGCAGCTTTATTTTAACGTCAGAAATGCTGTGACCTGAAGGACTTGTGCTTTTAACTTCTAAATTCATACAAAACTGGAGTCATAGCACTTGGCCCTAAACACAAAAACATTATCTGACTAGATAGTTACCTTGCCCCTCAGCTCTACTGAAAAGAATCATGGAGTCGACGAAGTGCAGAGTAATAATGTGGATTCTGAAACAAATATTTTATTAATTTATTTTAGATTCAGCTCTGTCTTCTTGTAATTCCATGTTTATACAGCTAAACTGCAGCAGTAAATGCATTTTGTATGAAACATCATCACTTTGCTGTAATCAACAGAGCTGCTGGGACATTGTCGGGGTGAATGACAGGTTTACAATGTGTCACATGAAAGACCAGCATGAACCTGCAGCCTGTGGCAAACATGTCACTTAGCATAATGTCCTTAGTACATAAAGACAAAATGTTTTTCAATTACATTTGCTTCAAGATTTGACTGTTTACCTCTAATGATGTGTTCACATTGTGTCGTGATGAGATTACTTACAAAATCAATGTAAAGACACAAATAGATTTGTGTGTTTCTCACTCACCGGACACAAATGATGTGTCATTCACGGCGATTGGTCGAGTACCGATAATCCAGTTCAACTGACTCAGGTCCTGGCATCGACCCGAGCTAAAATGAAAATCATCTGGACACAGCTCCTGGAGAAGAAATTCCCTGAGCTGCGTATTGGTCTTGTAGACGCACACACAACGATGCTGACTTCTCTGGTGTTTCCACGACATGTACAATGCAACAGCTGTTTACTTTGTTTGTGTGTTGGTTTTAGTTCAGGCAGTGGTCCTCCTCTCCTCTTTTCCAGAGGATAGCAGGCGAATATTTGTGGGTTGTCTATTTTTACGTTATAAGTGCAAAAAAACACAAATGATCCCAAGGCATGAAGAGTTTTTTAGTTTGGTGTGAATGCAGCATTAGGAATCTATATGGGTACGATTTTATTAGAGACCTTTATTTGGATCATGGTGTTATACCAAATCTATTTTTCATTGCTATTTCATAACATTGACATTTTTAATATTTCAACTTTACTAAAAGCCACAGGTCTTGATGGCCTGACTGCTTCATTTTTAAAGGACGCAGCTAGAATCATCACACTCTATATCCTTTGACACAATTACCTGTTCTACATCTCCTCAAGTTTTTTGAAGAATTCCTGAGCCTCCTCTAACTTACTTGGCTGTAGCAAAATAATCTCAGTGTGTCACGCCAGCATTCCTGGCTCTCCCACTCACAGGGAGGAGGAGGAGGAGGAGGAGGAGGAGGATGGAGAGGAGAATGCTTTTCCTCCTTTGCCTGACATCGTTAGGAAAAGAAGCACTGACCAAGTCAGAAGCCACCATGGGTGGGAGTCACCCAGAGACACCAAGGAATGCACCATTATAGCTTCAAAGAGAGGGATGAGGGAGGGTGGGGGTTAAAAGTTCAGCTAATCTATTTTTGTTTTTATGTTTTCTTGTGTTTGAAGGGTGAAATCTTTTTGCTGTATTGTGTTCGCCAAAATTCTACAAAATGATTTCCTCCATCTGTGTGGCGAGAGAAAAGAAGCTGTTGGATATATAATCTTTAGAGGACAAATCGTCCATCTGATTTAACCATCTGAAAACCAGATTTAATAGTTGTTGTTCACAAATTGGACCGTATGTTTGACGTAGCCGCCCTCTTTATGAAACCAAGCCAAATGTTGCGTGTAATTAAGTATTAAAGTCACATCTGTAACACTTGTCTTTCATCCATTTTTATGTATTTAATATTTTAATGTATTTAAGAGGACATTAGCACGCCCTTTATAAAAAGAATTCCTGTTATTTCATTTGACCGCTTGGAATCAGGAAACTGAAATCACAACATAGGTTTGAAAGGTTTTACCAACCAATGCAGTTTCAGTCGATTTACTTTTTTTTTCCACAATCAATTGAGGTCACTGTAACCTTTGACCCCTGAAATGTAATCACAACTGGTGTTGTGGACCAAGCAGTCAAAGCACAAAGAAAAGGTTGGGTTTAGTTTCCCAAAATGTTTCAACAATATACATCATGGTAGTTATGTGACTGGTGTGTGAAACTAAATGTTCACGTGTGGCTCTGTCCATCACATCTGGTCAAAACTTGAAGAAATGTATGATAGGCAGACTGCATGTTCAAGAGGCCAAACATGTGTTGGAGTGGGTCAGTGTGAGCTTGACCTTTGATCACCAAAATGTGATCAGTTAATCCATGAGTCAAACTGGACATTTTTGCCACAATTTGAAGGATTCTCTTCAGGCGTTCCTAATAATGTGTTCACGAGGCAAAAATGTGTTTCGAGAGGTCAAGGAGACCGTGAGCTTTGACCTACGAATTCCAATGAGGTCATCCTTGATTCCAGATAAATGTTTGTGCCAGATGTAATAACCCTCCCTATGGGTGTTCCTGAAATATAACGTTTACGAAACGATGAGGTCACCATGGCCCTTCATAAAAAAAACGAATCCATTCATCTTTGAGTCCAAGTGAACGTTTGTACCGAATGTGAAGAAAGGTGTTGAATGAAGAATTGGATGGACAACCTGAAAACTAAATGCCTCTGGCCACTGTTATTATAATGTAAAAATATTCATCTTGGTTATTTTGTATTTTATTTCTCCTAAAATACTTATGACAGGTTTCATATTTACCAATTTTAAATTCCAATTAAAGCATAATTTTCCACATTAAACACGTAATTACAGAGTAACTATCCACTTTTAATGAAAAGTATACATCTTATTTTACAGACAAATCACAAACTCCTGGTCATATATACAGACTTCTCAGCACAAATGAAGAATTATATTCCAAAATGAGACATCCAGTTTTAAAAAAAATGAGGAAACTGGCTCTTAATATTGCCAGATAACTTTCAGCTCCAAAAAGTAGCAAAATATAAGACACTACGATTCATATCTGAATGTTAGTGTGTTACAGAATTAAAGTCGTAGCTCTAGTATCACTTACAATCTGGAATTAGAAAACTCCAGCAACGATTACTCTGTGGTTTATTGGAATATTTTGGATTGGAACTCATCATATGTGGATCAGTGCAGCTTGCTGTACATGGTACAGCTTTAGTAAAACAACTCCAGTGTAAAATCACTACCACCTCACACACAGCCGGGGTACATCTGTTGTATAGTTACAGTATCATAAAACAGTGAATGTCTGTTTAACACCATCATGGGATGAGCACAATTTGGATATTTAAGTAGAAAAACATGTTTTACAATGAGAGTTCTATCAGTGGCCTATACAGCACCATCTACACAGAGACTTGAATCGGTATGACACTGGGTTTTGCAGATGCAGGTGAACATGAAGGCACATACTGTCTCATCATGCACATACCTGCATGGAGACTGATGCATATTATCTCTCACTGTCCCTTGACTGATACAGCATGGTAAACTAAAGCATGGTGGCCATCTCTTAAACAGGACTTCCCTCAGTTATATTGACAACTCCACTGCTCTGAGTAACATTGTGTTAAAACTCCAATTAAGGCAACAGTGTGTAAGATTTAGGTGAAAGGGATCTATTGGCAGAAATTTAATGTAGAATAATCCTCATGATGTTTTCACTAGTTCATTTCATCTAAATTGTATGAATTGTAGTTTTCTTTAGTCCAGAAAAGTCCCTTTATATATAAATACTTTATATTCACATGGAGGGGACCCTCTCTACAGAGGCCACCATGTTTTTTACATTAGTCCAGACTGGACAAACTAAACACCTTTTGAGTTTTTATGACAACTGAAGCTACCACAGGTTCTTTATCATGTTTGGAAGGAGAGGGTGAGGTGAGGGGTGTTCAGCTGCAACATGCAACTTCAACACTAGATATCACTAAATTCTACACACTGTATCTTTAAAGCAACAGTATGAAACTTTTTTACCTTAATAGTGTTCAAATAATTTGGGAATCAGACTAAGCAAGTTACAGAATTACAGATTCTTAATACGAAGTTTTGTTTGTTTGTAACAGGGACAGCATCTCTGGTTCAGGAAGTTGGGGATCATGAGGAATATACACCGGTAGACCATGTTTTAGTTCAGTTAGCGGGACGCAGTCGGAGCTGGTCACTCCACATGGAAATGCCATTAGCAAGGAGTCATGTCTTTTCCACTATCGTGGAAATAGATTACAATTTATCAAACCAGCAAGTTAACATGGAGGAAGTTTTGGAATTTTGACTGGGGGAAGTAGGAGACATTAGAAAGCATTTCTCTAATATGACATATAGGCCTGTCTCTCTAGATTCACATTGACTGTTTTGAGAGTTTACAATAAATGAATAATAATCCACTTTTATAATGGTGCATTTAAACTCCATGCTTGTATTGGTCAGATTTTTAAAAAACATTTTTACAGTGAAACTTGTAAAAACTTACAGCCATATTGCCTTCTGCAATATGTTCAACTGAAACGGCAGGTGTGGGAGTGAATCATGGCCTGCAGTAGATTTGGCATCATGTATATGAATTGAAACTCTGTACACCTTCATGGCCAGAGGTATAGACACTGGAACATTCCATCCATATCTTACTCCTGAATATCCCATTCCAAAACCATGTGCGGTTTGCTTCTGTTTAGCCAAGAGAGCATTTCAGCAAAGTCTCCCTGATGTTGGTTGATAAGGTCTGGCTCACAGTCATCCAGTCTCAGGTAGGATGGAGTTGGGCTTGGGCTCTGTGTCGGTTAGTCAACTTCTTCCACACCAAACTGTGGAAGCCAATTCTTTAAGGACCTGGCCTGATCAACACTACCATGCTGTATTTTGCCATTCAGTAATCTTTCTTCATTGAGAGGCCTCGACAATAAAACAAACGAAAAAGTACACTGCAGTTTGTGGACATTGTTGGCTGCATACATTTGCCACATGCAACATCAGGGCAGTTGCACTTAGTCATGAAATAAAGTCAATACAAACGTTAAGTAATAAATAAGTCAGTAGTGCAAACCCCACAGTAAATATGACAGATGATGATCAAAATACTCATTTTTTTACCCCTTAAAACTGACAATAATGATACATTCAGTCGTGTTGACCAGTGTTAATTCATGTTTATCTGTCACTTGCGTGTGACTTTCCTTTAACAAACTGTTTCTAAACTTGTTCCAGGAACATTCAGCTGGTACAATGTGTCCGTCTGACTTCATGTCACATCAACACCTTAACTGTCAAAGCTTCCAGGTTAACTGTAGCAGTTAGCAGCCCTGGTGAGTTCAGAGTGGAAGGCAGGTGAGTGGTGGGATTTTCTGGAGTAACAGTTGCAAAATACTTTAAGGGCTAACTTTGAGAATTCATAGACTAAACAAATGAAGAATTATTTAAGTTACTATTGCGGTCAAAGGCAGTCGGATCAGCATCAGTGCATTAGTTCAAAGCTAGAAAGTAGGTAGAAGTTCCATAAGATTGTAGATTTTACTTTAGTTGTTTCCAAGTGTGAGTTGTGGAGATGGATATCAATCTCAAGTCTGCGTGTTGAGAAGAGAAGCGGAGTCAGGATAAGGTTAGCCAAACTTAGCATAAAGACTGGGAGCAGGGGAACTGCTGTCCTGGCTCAAATAAAAAAATATATATGTCTGCAAGCACCTGTAAAGTTCACAAGGTATATCTAACCTGTTTATTCATCAGATATGTAAGAAAAAGATATCTGGTTTTAAGGAGTGTCACACCACACAGAATCAACTTGACAGCCTCACTGTGCAGTACACACAGTTACTGGATCAATCTGCTGTGTGTCAAGAAATAGTCTATATTGTACTTTCACACTAGTGTATTTTTTCACTATTAACAAGGGAAGGCCAGGTGATCTAGGATAGCCTATCTTAATGTGCCTTCAGAAATAGAGTCTTCTTATCTCACACTTCCAAAAAATTCCAAAAGTGTTGAATAGTTATTTTAAATTAACTTGTTTTTAATTTCTTGCATCTGAAACATGAAAGTATTCATGCCCATTAATACTGATGTGACCACCTTTCACCACAGCAACAAGATTTCTACAATTAAATACTGTTTCCGTTGAAGAGAGTAAACATAAGAAAATACAGTGGCTTAAACTTGAGCTACTCGTTCTACGCAACACAAGACACTCACAGCATACTTTGACACTAACAAAAATGGGTACAGTGGTTAACCTGTTAGCCATACAGTGCACACACAATATAATACAGCAATTATTAACACAGCAGTACTTGAAGCCTGCAGAAGCTGCAGTGATGTCCATCTGCACATTCAGGAAGGTTCATTACTTTTTGTATCTTTTCATTCACAGTGAGCTCAGACAAGCAGGGACAGAGGCCAGGGGAGTCTGGAGGAGTAAGATCTTCCCATAGAAGAATCAGTGATCGAGACAACAGTGTGCATTTTAACTTAGGATTCAGCAAAGAAAAGCATTATGTTTTCATTTCAACTGAATTAACTCTGAGAAAAAAGTTGAAATTACAAATTTGCAGGGACATAAAAATCAAGTGGCAAAGCCCATTATGGCATCAGAGTAGAACAAACGCAGGGTTAGCATTACCAAGGGACTTTTAACAAGACGGAGCCAGAATTCAAATTAGTTTCTTAAAATTAACTACTTGTAATACTATTACAAGGAGTGTGACCGTTAACAAAGGCTCTCCTGATAATAATTTGCAATTTATTTTCATGCAGATGAAAATGTTATCGACAGAATTAGTTTCAGGTGTATTTTCCTCCCTCTCCACATTCCTCTTTCCCTCGTCATGTAAAACAGAGTCAGATGTGGAATCTGCAGAGGAAGGTTTTCGGTTCCAAAAAGGTTTTGCTTTGCAGAGACAGTTTCAGTGAATACATTGCTCAGTACTCACAGGTTTGGGGCTTTCCTTCAGTTCATATGCTCCTCATAGGCCTTTGGTCCCATGCGAACCAAGCTTGGGATTGTTATCAACACTTACAAGGGGAGATCCAGGGCCAGTTCATGCTTTGACCACACTCCCAGAAACAGGACAGCTTCAGAAATGTCTGTCCCTCACCTCTGGTCTTTACTTGTCCACCTCTCAGGCTTCAAGGTCAGTAGTTTTCCCAGGCAGAGGACCAGTCATTGCTTTATCCTCTATCTTTTTTTCCTGTATAGGGCAGGAGAGCTCAGCAGTGTCACAATGCAGAGCACATGTTCTCTAGGCCCTTTACATAAATACAGTACATCCCCTGGATGTGAAGTTGTGAGGCAGAGCTGCAGGACTCAGATGAGCCTCTCCTCTGGAGGAACTTTGAGGACGCTGCCCATCTCCAGCCTGGCACCGGCTACTTCCTGTGAGCTCGGGCTGTATGTGCCCTCCGACTGACGTTTCTTCCGGGCCGTCATGATGAGGAAAAATACCACCAGGATGGCCAGTAACATACACAGTGTGATCAGAGGGATGGTCACAGCAAGCCAGGGAATTCGCTCCATGAGCTCCTCTTTCTGCAAGAACACAAGCCATAAAGTAAAGTGTTGTTCAAAATAATCAAGTCTGAAGTTCTTAATGGATTTTTTGTCCAGATGACGCCCAACCGAACATTATTCTCTGAGTGATCTAGCTCTTCATATTTTAAGATAATGTATATGTCCATTAATAAAAGGAAGCAGTTAAACTTTAAAGATTAAAATAAAATAAAACTAAACTATTTGTCTGAGTAAATTATGTTGCACTCTACATTCTGCTTAACAATATGCACAGGCTGAATTTTTTTCACATCTCTATACTCTCTAATGCTTATGTAAAACACTGGATTGTGGGAAACCTAATGACTGAATGCTTAAAGCACATACCACATGGGCATACATGCTACAGGCAAAAAGAACTATATTTTAGAATCACTGGACCAAGGCAAAAAATTATAAGATTAACGTAAATGTATTTTGTTTTGTCTTTGTTTAGAACCACAGGTTATCATGTATCTTTGTGTCGCTTGTTGTTTCAAAGTGATGGTACCAGTGCCAGCGACAAGAGGCCTGAATCTGAGCCATGCATCTCAAACCTTCTGCTCAGATCCAGTGGCAGTGTCGGAGTGACTTACATTGCTCTCACACAGTGTGCCGCTGAAGCCGAGCACACACACACACTGGAAGTGGTTGAGTCTGTCCAGACAGGTGGCCCCGTTGAGACAAGGGTTGGACTCGCACTCGTCTATTTCTGTCTCGCACCTGAAACACATCAGCAGGGTTTTAACACAACACTGACTGACAGAGCAGCTGCTCACACACACACACACAYACACACACACACACACACACACACACACACGCACACACACAGCCTCATTCTTTCTTGACCTTTGCACTTTGGATTTGGTCCAGATAGACTTTCTCCTCAGCTGCAGGTGTGCACTGAGGATTGTGTAGTGTGCTGCTCTCACCTGGCTCCAGTGTATCCAGGCTTGCAGGTGCAGTTTCCTCCAGAGCTGCCTCCTATACAAACCCCTCCATTAAGACATTCTGTGTATGCATCACATGCCACTGGGGGGAAGCGCCACCTAATGGATTGACAAACATACTTCCTTTTATAATATGCACCCTGTTGACAGTTTATTGTAATTGCTTTGGATACAAGCGTCAGCTAAATAAAATGTAATGTAATGTAAAAGTAATGCAGTCTTATAAAACAGTCCTGTAATAAGTCCTCCTTCATGAAGATTGTAATTTTCACTTTGTGTGGACACTCTCTGAGAAGTGTTGACTTAACTGAATCATTGGTGTTGTATTGTTTTTATTTTACTCCCACACCTTTCTGTATAATGCAGAGCTGTTCCACAGCAACACAAACTACAGCCTCCAAAATAATTATAATGACAATCAGTACATCTCTAAAACACAGTGAGTATTATAACCCTTTTATAAAGGAGGATTCTTTGATATCTCCAATATTACAACTCTATAAGTTCATAGTAAAACAATTTTTGCTTTGACAGTAGTGTACTGAAGAATAACATTACACATGAATTACTTGGAGGAAAACACTCAGGCGTGTAAGCAAAAGAAGGGAGGGGTAAGAGCTGAAGAAGGTAAAGGCAATGATTGATGGGAAACATAACTGAGAGGAAAATAAAGGTTTTCAGACTTTTCAACAAACACCAAATGTCTCAAATGTATACGAGAGAAAATGTAAAGGTGTGTACTCACTGGCAGCGCTTGCCGACATAGCCAGGCGGACAGAAACATGTGTAAGTTCCCATTGTTTCCCTGCAGGTTCCTCCATTCACACAACTGAACTCCAGACAGTTATCCACCTCCTCCTGACAGTCGTTTCCTGTGTATCCAGGCTTACAGTCACACTGGTAGTCTGCCAGGAGGTCTTTGCATGTACCATGGACGCAAGGATCTGAAGCGCATTCGTTTATATCTACCTCGCAAAGCTCCCCCTCCCATCCAGCTCTGCAGCTGCAGTTGAACTCAAAAAATTGGTCCTGGCACTCACCCTGGTTGAGGCAGGGTTGGGAATCACATATTGGTGCACCTTGGCATCCTATGATTGGCTCATGGCCTCCCAGTCTGGAGAAGCGGCTCACCTGAGGGGCATCTGGTACGTTAATAAGCGGCAGGTAGACTCCACCCACTCTCACCTCCCCTAAGCACCCAGTGTATTTCTCTGCCAGCCAGATTTCAGTATCATTGAGGAAGTTGAGGTTACCACCAACACCAAAGCTGGCACCCACTCTTTGCCCATCCATGGTTAGGCGCCAGCGGGACGCTGACTGTGTTGGATCGACCATGGACAGTTGGATATGGTGCCACATCCCATCTGCAATGACCCTGTCACTTGTGAAGGCCAGCAACTCTGTACTCTCCCCGCTGTCCAGCTTGACCAGCAGAGAGGAGTTGAGTAGACCCACGCAGAAGACTTCGGCTCTGCTGGTGGCCCGCAACAAGATCCCGTTCTCGTCTCGAGTTCTTATGTCCATGATGATGTTGGTTACAGGGCTCAGCAAGGAGCTGTTGGCAACATATCGGAGAGCATTGTCCTGGAAAATAGCTTCAGTTAAACCTGTTGGAGGAGAAGACCATGTTAGCAGCGTTGAAAACATAGAGTTGTGTATGTGTTTCATACAGCCAGTCTCACCCTATCCAACTATTAAAGTCCATCAATTAGAATAAATTGATGAAATGAATTCACTGTTGTAGCTACTCATGACATAATTTTTCTCATATAGTATCAGTATAATGATATTAATGGAATTGTTTGAATTACATATTCATGCATGCATCAAGCTTTGATTGGAGTTGGTTTAGCAGATCCACCATGTAACCTATGCTGAGGCTCTCCAAATGAAATAGATTTTCTTGTCAGTATACTCTTTTACATAAAAGTCAAATCACTGCCCTGGACTTTTGTGGGTCCGGAGAAGATTTGGATTAAGTCTGGATTTCTGAGTTTTAATGGAAAGTCAGTGATTCAAACTGAGGCTGTGGAGCTTGAAAGACATGAACCTTTACCATACATAGGTCAAATGAACTAACTAGTTGGGAACTGTCAGATTTAGCATTTTGCGTGAAGAATGTTGACCATTCTTTTTCGATTCTGACTAGGTATTAATGTAGGATGAAGTGTGAAAGGCCACCATCAATCATCAAAACTCAAAATAAAAAACATTCTCAAAAGAAATACGTAGGTATGATGCCCAAATATCCCACAATGCATCCCACAACACTTTAAAATCCAAGATAGGGCCATTTGTGAGACAGTCTACAGTAATGTTGAAAAATTATATATAAGGAGGACCTTGGCTTATCTTTAACTAGGGGTTCAAAAACAACAACTAGCATCATGATTCTGATTCATGATTCTTGCAACCTCTGCAGGACAGTTTTTTCACTTAGATCTTTGTAGGTCTTTTCACTTGAGGTCAGTTTGTCTATAGCAATGGCCATTCAGAAAATCTGTTGACCACTAAGATTAAGAGCTAAACAAATAAACTTGACCTGGCCTGACTTGATGAAGGCAGTGATAATCACTACCAAAGGATTACTCACACTCATAACCATCCTGTAGGTCCACACAGGCCAGTCCATCAAAACAAGGGTTTTCGATGCACCATAGACGTGTCTCACACAGCCGGCCTGAGTAGTTAATGGAACAGTTACAGATGAAGTCATTCCAGGTGACGTGACACTGTCCACCGTTGGAACAGGGCTCATCCTGTACACAGACAAACACAGATGGATGGATTACAAGATCACTTGTAAAATCTCTCACCTGATGTGACCACAGGGGTTAAAACTGCAGAGAGGACTGAGCGGTAACTTACAGACCAGAGGGATTCAAAACCAGATCAGTGTTAATAGGGTGGGGATGATAAAGTAGAGCCCAATAATCAGACATCAACAATCAGTGCAAGGAACTAAAACAATTAGTGTTAGCTCCTTGTTAGAGCCTCACACTGGTTAAACCTGGAGATTTGCATTATAACTGCAAATTAGCCAGACCATTTTGTTGACATGTATCCATGCCACAGTGGCTGTAGTGAAAATAAGCATTTGTGTTGATAAAATTCAATGAAATTTGGTACTGCTGATTTCTGCTGGTTGTGGAAATTCCCTATATTTACACCAACTGCTGCCAGCAGATAACATGGAACCAAATTCTCATTTGCCTGACTTGTACTTTTCCAGAAATACTAACATAGCATGCTGGCATCCAGTGGTGAAAATGCATTTTGCTATTTTGACTTTATTTTACTTATTATTATTTTAATAATTAAAAAAAAAAAAAAAGATATCTGAAGAAAGTTGGTTAAATCCTGATTGATGTAGACACCAACATGACCTGTTATTTCAAACCTTGGTATAAATGGAAATCATAGACACTACTAACTGCATTATATATAATCATTTCTAATAAAAAACATTCTCTGTTTATTTTCCAGTAGTAGTTATGGTGCTTGTGGTAGTGGAGGTAGTCATAGCAGGAGCAGGAATACATTGATATTAGAAACAGCACAATAGTACTTGTATAGTACTTGTGCTGAGCAGTAATTCTAGTGGAGTAAGTAGTTTTCTGGGTTCCCGATCCCTGATCCAAATGCAGTTAAAGTGGTGATCATTCAACAAATTATCCACTGTATTTCTCTTTTACCTTGCATGTGTCATCACTTTGACATCCTCGCAGCACATTCTCCTCTGTGCTTGCCTGGTAAACCTCCACGCTCTCTGGATGATCCTTAATGGTCAGAAACTTGTTGTCCAGCCGAATGTCCTGCAGGCAGCCCTTGAAGTTTCCACCCCAATTGTTTATGCTCTTGTCCAAAGGGAGCCCCCCAACATACACTACATCCCCTGCCTCCACACTCACATTCCCTAAGGCAAGATGGTTCCCGGCTTTGGGGAAGACCACATGGCCATAGCGTACCTTGATAGTCACTAAATTATTGTTGCCATCAGTGACAAACTTTGCCTCTGACAGCAGTGTGGTGTGAGGACAGTAGATAGCAACAGTGCCTTCCTTCAGATAGATCGTCAGGTAGGGCTTTTCTTCTCGACTGAGCTGCAGGATTAGGCCATTGTGTTTTAGAGAGCGCATTAAAAAGGAAATGGTGAAGTTGTCTCCATGGGTTTCTGAGATATTGAAGGTGGAGTAGCTGGTGATGTTCTCATGGCCGAAGGTCCAGGATGGGTACTCTAAAATGGAAGCACAAAGATGTCACACTGTAGTCCCAAAATACTTCACTTGAACCAGCAATATTTGATATTCAACTGAAATAAAAGAAAGAGTGAAGGGTCTCACTAAAAAGGTCCACTTGCTTTATGGGCAGTGTGGTCAACTGTTTTTGAAGCTGGAGATACTGATTATGATTATGAACAACTCTGCTGTTTGCCTCAGATCTATTTTATTTTAGCTTCTTTCAAATAATTGTTTTGTTTTGACAGCTTCCAACATTACTATTGGGATTCAAGTCTTGTTCCTCTCTATAATGTTTTTAACAACAGCAGGCAGATGTTTTCAGTCAGACGGCTGTCGGCTACCTGCTAAGCACAAAGTGGTAGACACAGACAAAGATAACAACTGGCTGGTGATCACTGTGGAGCATTAAGCAGCTAAAGACATTTCTCATTAGTTGTTTCCATCCAAACCTGGCTAGGTAGTACTTTTTATCATGTGGAGGTTGAAATAATTATCTATGCTGCTCTTTGTCTGCTGGATGAATACATTTTAAACATCAAAAACATTATAAAGTGATAATATGTCACTGTTTTGTTAACAGATATTTCCACGGCCAAAGTAGCCATAAAATCAATTCATGGTTTCAGACCACATTATCATTCATGTTTTCCCCCATTTGAGAAGCTGTGAACACTAGCCACAGTATAACTTTTTCAGTAACCCACTAGTATATTTGCAGTCACAGTAGAGTATATTTCTGCAAACCTGGAACTTATCTCACCTTCCTCGCAGCTTTCTCCGTAGTAGGGCCGGTGACACTGACATCTGGCACGAACCCACATGTCCACACACTGCCCACGCTCCATGCATGGGTCTTTATGACACCAGTCTTTTTTGGTGCAGCCCATTTCCAGGCCGTGGTTCTCCTCTCTGAGGAGGTCCTGAGGCAGAAGCAGCTTATGGTCAACATGAAGGTCCTCCATACAGCCAATGAACCCCCTTCCACTGGAAGTATGGCGTAAGTATTCCTGTGGTGCTCCTCCTACATAGAGCTGCTGAAAGGAGCTGGGCCGGAGGAAGATCAAATGGTTGTGGCCTTCATTCTTCACCTGGCACCCTTCCTCACAGCCAAGTCCTTTTACAGTCATGACCAGCCTCTCATCCATGGTCACAGACACCTGGTGCCATTCCCCATCATTGACAGGGCCAGGGTAAATGGCCTGCAGCACCTTCCCAGACTTTACCCTGGCCTGGAGGGAGCCACTAACAATTTCCAATGAGAAAAAGCGCTCCTTAATGCCCCGGTAGTACAGCACCATGTCAGGCAGAGTACTTTTGAATCTGAGCTGCATGTGGATCCCATGGTTATTGTCATCAATCTCAGGCCTAGTCCTATTTGCAGAAATAGGCAGCTGCATGTGAATGTAGCCCTCAGAGTTGAAGGAGAAGGTAGTTGAGGTGTTGCAGCGTTCTCCAGTCCAGCCGGATGGACACAGGCAGGTGTAGCTGTGCTCTCCATCATCTGTCAGCATTGGGTCACAACCTGCTTTGTGTTGACACTGGTGATGTTGGCAGCCGACCAGGCGGACATCACAGTCTTGCCCACCCCAGGGTTCCTGGCCAGGCTCTGGCATCGGGCAGTGACACCTATAGGAGTTGGCAGCATCTTCGCACGTGGCGCCATTCTGGCAGGGAGCGCTATCACACTCGTTGATGTCCACCTCACAGTGCACGCCTGCAGCATGGAGAGACACTCACTTTTAACAACAGAGATTCACTTATTTCACTTATACACAATCTTCAAAACTCAAGTCACATGTAAGAACTGGAAATTCAAACAAGCAACAAGGGTACAGCACTAGGTGAGAGAGCTCGGTGTGCATACATGCAGATGAAAAAACAGATGTGCTTGAGGAACAGCACAAATATTTCCATCAGTGTCATCAGCAGATGAAAGAGGAAACGACCGGAGGAAACAGCCGTTATTAACAATTAGAGGTGAATCAGATTAACAGTCCTCCTTAACGCAATTAAACCAGGATATGTCATACTGATTGTATCAGCTAGACACTGAAATATTACACTATATGCTCCCCACACACACACACACAGGTCTATCTCTCTGATTTCTGTAGTCAAAGCCGTCTTATCACACCGCATCCAACATTAAGCCCTGGCAGCAGCAGTCAGCTTGCATTAACATAGTCCTTTAAAATACTCTACACTCAAGGAACCCTAAAGCTGTTCGTCCTCTCCCGTGTCAAGACTCCACCCCTACAAGCACGCAACTTTCTTCTCTGTCAATGTAGTATTCAAAAGTGCTGTGCCATACTGTACCTGTCAGCCCCCAGGGCCCACAGCAGCAGCACAGCAGCAGCAGCATCAACCTGCTGCCCCCCATGATCCACTGAGTCAACAGCCAACACATTCTTCACACTGCTGGGTGGCAGAAATGACACAACCAAGTCCTATCTCTCTTTCTCACACACACACAAACTCTCCTTCTCCCTCTCTCTCTCTCTCTGGCTCACAAAGCAGAAGTGTCACTCCTCCACTCTGTACCAGGCAGAAAGGCAGGAGTGATTAAACTGCAGCCCTGCCCAGTTTTTCTTTTCCTCCCTTTCGTTCTGCCTCCTCCATCCCCCCTGAATCCCTCCCTCCCTCACACCCACTTCTCCTCTCCTGTCTGCAGCCCAGCCCAAGCAGAGTGGTAAGCTTCCAGACTCCAGCTGGCTCCTGTCAGTGTTTGACAAGAGGAATGCAGTGCTGCGTTCCCCTCTGTGCTCCATGTGCTGGCCTGTGGATGCCCACTAGTGGCAGGAGCTGCTGATAAAACCACCCACAGGTGGAGCTGCAGGTTCAGGGCTTCAGGTAAGCGATAAAATAGTATAAGCAAGACAATTGCAATGAATTTAGATACTGCACTAGTATATATTTTAGTAATAGTGACAAAGAAAGAGGAGGCCAACATTTCCTGAAATTAATATTGACATTTTTAAGGGGAAAAAAGGATTCTGACAACCTTGGTTGATCGTTAAATGTTTTATTATTATTATTATTATTATTATCGTTATTATTATTATTATCGTTACTTTTAAAGTTGGACTTTAATAATTTTCAGCATCATGATTTTAAACTCGTAATTCCAAATCCAGATTTATTAATAAAGTCATTTTTTTCACTTAAGACATTGTGACATAAAAGTATTACATAATCCCTATCCCACTTTTTTTCAGTTTGACCTTGTTACAAGACATTTGACTTTTAAGATTTTTTATTTTTTTATGAAATCTAACAACATTTCTCATGAAATTGATTTTAAATAATACTTCTACTAATACTTTTACACAAATCTTATTGTTTGCTTTAATTTCATTATTCTTAATTTGTCCTATCACATTTATCCATTATTTTCTACCTTCACTTACATAATGCAAGATTTACCTCAGACATAAAAATCTTCCATAGTGGCAATATACATACAATATTCCCTCACAATGTGGTGATATAAATGTTTTTCCATTTAGCCTTTGACAAAAATGCATTAGCAGTTACAGAGAAGGTAGTCTGGCATAAAAACTAGAGAAATAGAAAACAGGGACATAAACTATTTGAATAATCCTGATATTGTCTTCTTGTCATCTGTGGTTGACAGAATTAGTTGTTACTATAAGCTTTGCCTCTTAGTGACAATGTGATCAGCAAACCTATGGAGGCTACGATGAGCTCAACACTCATCCCTCAGATTTGTTAATGTGACTGAACTAATGAATGTAACCGCATCCAAGTTATTTCCAATACAAAATATCCTATGTCAGCTCCAACTACTATAAAACTGTCAACATGGCCCTGGTGCAAGGAAGAGGGCACAGGAGGTCGTCTCTAGTGGATTAACAACCACTTCATACACGTGGAAGATCAACCTGTTGCACATGTGCCGTACACAGTTAACAGGATTATATATTTTTGTGCCATATGGATATTCCCTCTATTTTTGCTGCTGTTTCCAACAGTGATTTGCTTATAATGTAACATACCAATGTAATGAATGCAGATCATTTAGAAAAATGGCCTTGTGGTGCTCACAATGTTTAACATCATCTTTGTCTTTTTTCATTGGGCATTAATTAGTCTGTTAAGCAGCTTTTTGTAATCCCCCATCCCCAGGGCAATTTACTAAGGAGACCCCCGTTTAATGCCCATGATGGACACCTGACATATGGCACTTTTATTGGCTTTGTTGTTTTCCACTGTGCTCCTCCATACCATATGCCCCATCATCCCCACCTACCTTATGCTCTGTTGTGGCCTAATCATCGTTTATGCCATAATACTGTTAGCAGATTCGCTTCCTGGTGTGTTGACAAAAGCTTTTGGTTCAAGTCCTCACTTCTAAGTCCAGATCCTGCACTTCAAGGTCAGAGTTTGATGCTGTTCCTCCTGTTTTGAGTGATGCAGAGGCAAATCTCCTCTAATGAGGAATAAATACCTTTGCGGGCCATGGGGAATGATCAGCAGGGGAGGATTAACCCTTTATTGTTTGGCCAAGGGGGGATAAGGAGTTTTTAAAAATACTTTAATTTAGCATATTTGCTGTCGATTATATTGGTTTTCTTGATCCATTGTTCTACCAGTTACTAGAGTAAATAAGCATTTGAAAAAAGTACAGAATGTTAATCACAATTTTGAAAGCCTGCTATATTTTCAAGTCTTGAGGTGTTTGGCCAACAGTCCTGTCAGTCAGTATAAAATGATAAAACACTCATGTGTTGTGCACATGTAGATTTGCTATGACAACAAATTAATAACAAGGTCAGAGTATTTCACCCGATATTACTTTGAACACCTCTCAGTCAACATTAAGGGCCCATGCCGGTGTCCATGTGCTGTAAACAAACAACACTGGATCTCCGCAGCAGAATTAATCTGTTTCTGTCTGCTGCACCACGAGATTTCTGTATCTCCTGCTGTGTTGTTCATGTGTGAAAGGAATCTTCTAAAAAACAGTCTGGGCCAAATTTTCCAGACTTCCTCATGGAGGTCATGTCTGGAAATGGCTCAAGACACATCGAGGACGTGTCTGAGGTCTGATCACTCAGACCACATTTAGAGCAGTTCTGGGATGCATGTGGGCACAGTCATTTAGCTGTGCGAACATTAATGTGACTGCTTCTGTTTCATAATGACCCCAAAGTATTGTTACACTCCTTAGTGTACATTGATCATTTGTAACCACCACAATAGCATTAACACCGACCACGGAATATAGTTTTTTTTCTTTTATCAGTAAATTGTATTTCACTGCAGAACTGAAGAGCTCACATACCGTCCTGATGTTTATTTGTAGTACGTGTTTATTAGCACATAGAGCAGAGGAGTGAGATCCAATCACAAGTGGTCAATTGATCATAAGTGGTGTAAAGTAACATATGCTGTCCATGTGATAGGCTCATTCGAGATGGACCAGGTCTGAACAGAACCTGGTGGTGCAGCCAGAGATCTACAAAGAATTAAAGGTTGCCCACCATTATCTTAAGGGATTGTTCAAAAAGTATCAACTTCGTGTAACTCCCCTTTGACACAATGCAAGAGAAAACCAGAGAATCAATCACACTCATTTTGACTTTTTCCTATGCTGGTATCTGGTGAACCACATTGTCATATATATAAAATATATATATTAAAGTCATTGACTGCACAAGCAATGATATAAAGTTTTATAGATAGGTGAACTCTAGTGGCCATAGTAATTATGACAGGAACAAAGGAGAAAGTCAGGTGACGCAAAAAGTGACAAATTACTTTCACACAGTCCTGTTCCCGATAGCCACCATTGGTTCTTGTGTCGACGTTGTGTTTTTATTATGTTGCCGTTCTTCTTTTATAACCTTGACTCCACTGGGACTGTTTTAACCAGATGTTTACTATTGTAACCATGATGACACATGCCTGTGCATTACTACCTAGGGAGACGCTGCTATGGGTCGTATTAGAAGTTAAGAACAAACAACCGCGGTTATTCAAGTACATTTAAAATCATTGGTACCGTCGATGAACACTGACAGGGACAGGTCTGCTAGGGAAGAGCTGCTTATTGAAGATGTTTTGTTAGGAGATAAATAGTAGGAGAGCAGAGAAGTGGTCCCTCCTACCTGTGAAGCCGTCTGGACACACACATCGATAAGAGTTGACCATATCCTGGCATTGTCCTCCATGGTGACATGGAGCAGACTCACACTCGTCCACATTGATTGAGCAGTTGTCTCCTGCGAGAGGAAGAAACTGATCAGATTCATATCTGCGTCCTCGTCACTTAATGACGAGTTACCGGGGCAACATACCAAGAAACTGAAGGTTCCTGCTGCGAGCAGCATGGCTTACCGGTGAACCCTGGCAAACAGTCACAGATGAAGCCAGCTGCCTCTTCATATGTAAATGTGGCTATGCTGAGTTCAGGCAGCATCCCATAGTTCCTGGCATCTGATCGCTGGAAACACACTCCATCGTTCTCACAAGGATGCTGCTCACACTCATCTATATCCACCTGGCAGTTCTCTCCCTCATAACCTGGACACACACACACACACACACACACACACAAACATGCTGAACGGATAGGTTTTGACTTTTTCCACCTAAGTCTATTTAATTCAATACTCACATGTCATTAAATATTTTTGAATCAATCACTGTTATCATTCCTTCTGTCCATAGAGGCTTTCATACATATAAGCCTGTAGATTGTGAACTATGTAGGTGGAGCTGATGTCTGTGCTGTAAATAGAATCGGTCATTTCCATCAAACATAAATAGAATGGGGAAAAAAAAACTTCAGGTGTCAAATGTGTCTCAATAAAGCAAAGAGGAACTTCTTGCATGAGCCAGATCTATCCCTCAACCACAGTTGGAAATTCTGTTCATTGAAACGTTCAGAGGTAATTTCAAAACAAAAAAGGATGTAACTCAGGAAGCTGACCACATTATTTGACTAACCCACACTACCTGAGCCTTATTTTAGCTGCAGTGCTGCTCAGAATACATTTTGGGCAAACTCTAGACTTTTTTAGATCCCTGAGATTTCCTGAGGCCATTTATTTTTTACAGGTACCATTTTATCATAACATTACATGATGTTCAATTTATTGTCAGGATTTTTATTGAGTTGATATACTTAGATCTAGTTATTTCTAGCAGCCTCCTGAAAATGTTTTTGAAAATACATATAGATTTAGATGCATAATGATGAAGAGGGAGTCTGAAAGGTGGGAGCTGGAGTCAGACACATTGATTGTGTAATGATATACTAAAACGTGCTCTTCCAGCATATCCAGCTTATGATAAGTGAGCATTGTTTTAAGTTATGTACTTTCAAAAATACTTAAATCTCAGTTTTTTGTACAAGGTACTTTTAGGACATGCACACATCATTGCATAACATGGTAGAAAAAAATTCACAAGATGCCTGTCGACGTCTGTATCTCTCGACTGAAATGTGGTCAGGCATTACTTTTCATAATTCATCACAACCCTGGAGGATTTAAATACTGCCACACTGCTGTTTTTATTTAGCTGCACCATAAATGAGAGAAGAGGCAAAGCCCCTGATATTTAGCCCCCCTTTGTTCTCTAAACTCAAGGCTCAGATGTATGTGTGTGAATCCTCCAGCCTCCAGGGGACGCTCTTTGTGTGCATAAGGTTGTACTTTTGAAACATTTAGATATGCATTTGGTCACTGTTCAAATCTACTGAATGTCACAAAGTGGGGTCCAAGGGTTTATGTGTTATTAAATAGTTATTGTGGTTGTCAAAAATGTGGTTGGTATCAGGCCAAGTGTTGAACCACAGTTTACCTGGCCAGCAAAGGCACTTGTACTGGTTGATTCCCTCCAAGCAGGTGGCTCCATGTTTGCAGGGGTCAGAAGCACATTCAGGAATATCATCTTCACAGTGGTCGCCCACAAAGCCCGTCCCCTCACAGTCACATTTATAGCTGGGGAAAAAGCAGAGATACAAATAAGCCGGTCTGGTATTGTGATTGTCAGAGCAACATTCTATATCAAGATTTTCTGTGGGATTTCTGGATCAAGTATCTTGTTGATTTGAAAATGATTTGAAAATGGCACAAAGGCACCCTATTAAATTTGAAATGATTCAATTACCCTATCTAATTCAAACATGCTCAATCAATGGCTTATGTGGAGGGGGCTGGTGTAAATAGTCAACGATTCAAGGCTGAATACTGGACAGTAACAACTTAAAATCAAATAGCACAATGACACATTTCCCATTATTTGTCAAGATTCTTACAAATAACTTATTACCTGAAAATAACCTTGAGCAAGAGTGACTGGAATGTTTCCAAGTGGAAATCTGGTTTTAGGTTTGAAAAATATCTATGTGACATGTTTAAACCACATAAGCAGGTGACAGACTAAAGAAAACTCTTGAAATCTAAATTAAATGCAGATGCTTCCAAACAGGGAACAAGAGGTCATTTAGATTATTTCACTATTGACTGATCTTTTTCTTGATTCTAATTTATCTTTCTATCCATGAAATGTCCAAAAATTCTATAGAATCAAAGTTAACACACTCAAATGTCTTGTTCAGTTTACTGACCCTAACCCTTAAGCCTCAAATCCTCTCATATAAAATGATTTAACTAGAAAGCACAGTGGCTTCGGAAAGTTAGATTCGTATCAATAAATCTTGAAAAGCATGTCTCTATTTTGTCAATATAGAGTATAAGGTGTGGACACAAATGGCTATTGGATCTATTTAAAATGAAACATGACATCTTTTAAATGACTAGTTGTTGCAGCTCTAGGTCACTAAAAGACTGAATGTGTATGAAACAACAGATTTGAATCATATGAGTTGAACATAATGAGTGAATATATTTTGCCTGAAACAGTTTTGCAGCATCTATGATGAGAAGCTGAAGCTCTTCTGGACTCTGTTCACTTGCCATCTGTATTGTTACCATGAAATAAAGAGAGAAGACTCATAATATAACATAAGTGAAACAACAGTAGCATTGGTCACCATAACTTACTGGTCATACCAGAGTGTCTACTCCAGGATTCACGTCCCTAAGCCAACTAACATCCCTCCTTCCAGCAGCTTCCTCACACCCTGCTAGTCCGATCAGTTTTACTACTGCACCAGGTATTCTTAGCACCTCCAGCGCTTTAATGACTCATCACAATGACTCACAGATAAGTGGATTCATTATCATCCCTGGTCAACTTTAATGTCTGCCGTGCAACCTGGAGCTGACACAACACACTGCTGGATGGCACACATGAGAGGCAAGTATAAAGAGTGGTAGATAGGAATAGATTAACGAGTATTTACTATTCTGTTGTATTAGTTGTACATGTGATATCACATCTCTTAAGATGAGTCAAACTCATTGGATGTTCTGAGCTTGATTCTAATTGAGCATTATTTCTTATTTACTTTCCCACATATCATGTCAGGAAAAAAAATACTCAGACATTAAGAGACATTTGCTGATACAATACATATGAAAATAGTTTTTTAAATATGTAATAAATAAATGCATCTCAGAAAAGAACAAATAGAACAGTTTCATTTGTACAGTGCCAAATCATTCCATACATTATCTCAAGGAACTGTAAGGAAGAGCTTATAAATGATAGAGATTATCGAGAATTGTCCTTTATCCTTGAACCTCCTGTTTATTTTCTTCATACCTTTTCTTAAACCACTGTCTTTTTCTTTCTAAGAGGAAACGATTCCATTTCAGTTTAGGATGAAAACTGCCATTTGCACATTTAAAATGTTTTCATAATTCAGTGACTCCTGTCCTTGCCCTCCCCATGTAAATTGTCAGGTAACTGACATCACATGTCGTCTATATGTCGTTACTGCTAAAACATTCCTGTTTCACAGACAGTAGTGCACTAATGTACTATAGTTCATACACTGTATTTGCCAGTTGTATTCAGTTTCATTAGATGAATGTTAAAAGATAACATGTATATAATGTTGTAAATGTGTGACATTTGAACTAATACTTATATATACCAAAAGACCAGGGTCAGTTGAAATCTAAAAAAAAAACATTCTGAATGTTACATTTTATGTTGTAATTTCAGAAAGTAGAACCTTAAGTTTTGTGGACTAGTGATTCTTTAACTAACTTTATTTAAGAGATAAACTTTCTCCTGATAAAGTAGCCTGGCTGCTTAAACAAGATTTAAATTCAAGTTTTTTAGTTTGACTCGTCCTTGTTGTCTCAACTATCACAGAAATCGTGTTGAAACAAGTTGATGGGACTATTGTGTCAACATCACCTTTGTCACACCAACTATTTATTTTAAGTTTATGTAACACAGATGTAAGTGACAACAACAGAAGTTTGCAGAACTCAACATTTTCAACATTATACTTTTTAAATTGCATTGCCCTTCCAAAATGAAAATCTGTCTAACTCCAATCACATTGTTTGTGTGTGTACATTCTCACAGTATAAACATGTGCGTGTGTTCTACCTGTTGACCCCATCCATGCACTTGCCCCCGTTCAGACAGGGCACGCTGGCACATTCATCAACGTTGACCTCGCAGTCTTGGCCCTGGAAGCCGGCCACGCACTCACAACTGTATGCGGCGATGTGGTCCCAACAGGTGGCGCCGTTCTGGCAGGGGTGCACCTCACACTCATCGATCTCCACCTCACAGTTAAACCCTGATGGGAGCAGAGGAGGAATGGCAGTGGGCCAAGGCATGAGATTGGAAACACACCTAATTATCTTAGCACACGTGCAGGTACAACACAATGACACTGACGCTGCCAAGAGCTCAGCTGCAGACAACAGCAACACTAATGCTACTTAAACAGAGCCATGCAACCTCTTTCAATGTCGGCAATGAGAAGTGGTATAAAAGCTCAGTCCGTCTCTTTATACAACAGGAGAAGTAAAGCAATACTGTACTACCTGCATTGTACAATACTAAAATAAAGATTTACAATGAGCTTTTATTTACATTGAAGTGAGTGGACCAAACTAAAGCACGTAACCTTCATTGACATCCACGTGTCACTTTCATCTACAGCAGTATATTGTATGTGCCTCATGTTGCTTATGAATTAAACACTCCCACACCCTCTCTGGAGGGCATTTGTTTTGTATGTGTTCCGATGCCTTCAAGTGCTGAGTACCTAGAAACTACATATTGACTGTCTCTAATGACTGCAGATGAAAATGAGCTAGTAGCTACATCTGTATCTCCCAAAACATATATTTTATTTCAGAATCCAGAGATGTTCTTTAATCATGCAAATGCCAACACAAAATACTAGAGAACAGCATGATTAGCATAATAGCAATATAAGAAATATAAAAGTATGTGAATATATGCTATAATATATGTTTTTTTATTTATTTTCACGTCCACAGCTGAGTCCACAGCTGACCTAACTTTGTTTTTAGTTGTAAAAGTTTGGCAATCACGGAACCATTAACTGAAACATAAATGTTAAATCATTTATAAACATGACAGTCAGATGCACTGTAAAATCTAGTGGCCTTCTTGACATCTTCAGCCTTATAATCCTAAATAAAGTGGATTAGACTTAAAAGTTCAGTGTGTAGAATTTAGTGACATCTAGAGGTGAAGTTGCATGTTGCAGCTGAATACTCCACATTTCACCCTCTCCTTCCCAACATGAAAGAGAACCTGTGGTGAACTTCAGTTTTCATGAAAACTCAAAAGGTGTAAGTTTTTCCAGTTTGGACGACATAAAACATGGCGGCCTCCACAGAGCGGACCCTCCTCCATGTAAATATAAAATATTGAAATATAAAGGGCCCATTCTGTGGTAAAGAAAACAACAATTCATACAATTTAGAGGAAACACACCAGTGAAAACATCACTAAGATTATTTTATATTCAATTTCTGCCAAAAATCCCTTTCACCTAAATCTTACACACTGAACCTTTAAAAGAAACACATTGGTTTGAAATAGTATTTTGATTGCTATTTTAGATGCTTCAGAAACTGAAAATGATATTTGCTAATAAGATTATTAATTCTGATTAGTACATGTTCTTGGTTCAAAAACCCAGACTGTTATAACCCTGACATAATCTACAGGGTCTTACCTTTGAAGCCTGGGGTACAGTCACATGTGTAGTGGTCCACTTCATCCAGACATGTGCCGTTGTTTTGACAGGGGTGGGAGGCACACTCGTTAATGTCCAAATCACAGTGGTAGCCCTGAAATCCAGGCACACAGAAACACTGGTAGGCATTGACCCCGTCTTTACAGATGGCTCCATTCTGACAGGGCTCAGACTGACATTCATCGGTGTTCTCCTCACAGTTCGTCCCCTGGTACCCGGCAGGACACAGGCAGCGGTGCCCGGTGTCAGGGATATATAAACAGGTACCAGCATTCTGGCATGTTTCCTCTGAACAAGTGGTCACATTAACCTGGCAGTCATCACCTCCAAAGCCCTCGGGACAGTGGCAGGAATATCCGTTGATTCTGTTGGCACAGTAGGACTTGACACCATTGCAAGGTTCGCTGTAACATTCGTCTACATCCTGGGTGCAGTTTAGCCCTGTGAATCCATCTGGACAGAGGCAGCGGAACTCGTCTGTCCCGAGTGTGCTTGTACAGTTGGTACAAGGAGCAGAAATACAGGGATCATATAGCTCATCACAGTTTTTGCCCATGTACCACACTGGTCCTTTGGGGCACAGACACACATAGTCATCCAGGTGTTCAAGACATGTGGCACCATTGTTGCAGGGAGATGAGAGACAGTTGTCTGCTGCCACTGTGCACAGAAGACCTGTGGGGGGAAAGGGAAGCTGCTATTAACACATTTTCCTATAAAAATTACATTGTTGCAAGCATGAATCCCAAACTAGAATGGAGATCAATTGTTTACCATTGCCAATGCTAATTCAATACAAACTAGTCCCTTAAACATATGAAAGTGAGCACTTTGTCCAGAAAGTCTCTCTTCTGACCACCTTGATTCTTTGGTGCCTCTCATTTACAGTATAGAAGTCAACTCCATGATGTTGGGATTTCTGGGTAATTAAGTCTTTCAAATGTTATTTCCTCATGACCAACAAATGACCAAGTGCAAGGACATGTGTTCATCTTGTGATGACATGCTTCATACTGTCCATTTAAAATACCTTTGTGCATAATTATTTACCATGCTTTTGTTCACACTGAAATATCCATTCTGTAATGTATAGTAACTTGAGCCCCACGTGGTTGAGTTTGAGCAAGATGGACCATTGTTGTTGCTGTCTATTCGAGTCTTGAGTCGAATTGATATTTGGTCATTGTATGAGAATGGAATTGTTTTTGAGTTATCTGACATGAAGTTAAAAGAGTACAGTACCCTCTGAAAACATATCTCTGCATGAGCTATTTGAAGACCAAAGCACTGTGTGCTATATTTCCAAAATACAGTCAAACCTATATTCTGTTATGCACCCAGAAATAAATATAATGGAAGATATTTCAATTAATTCATTAAAGAGCCTGAAATACATTACGAGTTGTAGGGAAACTGTGTGGCTAACGCAGAACACTGTTCTCTGTAAGATTGGCTGTTAGGGCTTATAGAGTGGGCTACCTACAACTCAAAGACTATAGGTGCTGGGATGAAGCCCCTCTTTCCCCTAGACTTAAGATCACAGCAGATGGTGTTAGAAGTAAACGTATTACATGACTGAGCAAGCAGCTGTCAGTGTTGTCAATCAGCATTTCACTCACTACTGGTTCAAAGGCTGCACAAGTGGAACAGATGTGAAAATTGAAATACTTAAAAATGCAATGGCTCTGTTATGTTCACTATAGTTCTGAGTTTTCACTTTGACACTTCAGTTTAATTTAGGGTTTTTTGAGAGTTAGTATAAGAGACAGTACATATCTGGCTCAAGATCTGATGGGTGAATGGGTCAAAGGTCACAGGACTTTCCCCCAGAAGATCAGGGTCAGACTCCAGCAACTTCTTATTTTACTTTTTTCTTTATAATTACTTACAGATGTTCCGATGATGAGGCAAGAACAACACTTGGTTAGGTTACTAGATCATGTTTATATACCAAATTATTTGTCAAGTAAATAGAAATATGTATAATTTGAATGAACCGCATTGTGATCTTTACTAATTAGGTTGAGTGAACATTTTTCACGCCACATACGCCAATGTTGATTATTGATTGACAGCTGTGAGCTCTCAGACCAAACTAAGAGGGCCCCCCCCCCCCCCCCCCCTCTCAACTATATAGAAGTTTGGGTGATTTGGGTAAAAATCATCCGATGTGATTCTCTGCTGTCGAGTCATCAGCAACAACATTGCAGTAACAATGTGTTTATATTTTCCTGGCAACACCTATTCCTCATTTCCCACTGAATCCACTTTAAACAATCTCAGTTCCTTTCACATGCATCTGTTCTCACACCTTTTATCTGATCGTTCCTCTTCACATGAGTCTCACTTCTCCTCCCACCACCACCACCGTACCTGATACATCCTGAGAGGTACTGTTGTTTCTGCTTCCTCTGGTTATATTTAAATGCTGAAGTAACAGCCCAGTGTTTATAACTGAAGCTGACAGCTACGCTGATGTGCATTAAAGGGCCTGTAAATTATTTGACAATCTTTGATGTGTCATTACTTATTAGAAAAATGTAGCCTTTGCTCCATTTACTAATGTAAATTAGAATGTCTCGTAACATACTGTTTAAGTCACAATTGCTTAAAATGTTGCTTATTCTTATTTTTAGTGAATTATAATCAAATGTATAGGATTATTCCAAAGGCATACTCCTATCACCCTACTGAGACAGATAAGAATAATTTGAATGAGTTGTTTTTCTTAGAACCCTGAAGTTGACATAAGAGTACGAAGGAAAGCAGATAAGACAAATAATTTGGAATGTGTTAATTTGTTGATACATGTGGTGTGTTTGCATGTTTGATCCTCTTTATCTCCAGCTTTATCTCCATTTCCTTTTCAGAATCATTTCCTCTGTCTTGCATCAACTTCATATGCATCACTCTGTGTTTTATCTCCCTCGGTTGGTTCTCACTTGTACTGAAATTTTTTAAGAATCTTTTTGTTTATCTATTTGGAACCGTCCCCCCTCTTTGTCTTGTCGAAGATAACCTAGATCCTCTCCAGGCCTGGCCTGTCCAGCTCAACTCAGTGCTTTAAACCTCTACTACCTGTAATCTCATGAGTCCTGCAGGCTGACAGGGGCAGCAAGGGTCTCCTCACTCTTCACCCCTCCATCCAAACCCAATCCACCTCTCACACATTCCAGGGAGCTGATAACCGCTCCTCCAACACAAAGCCCTGCCCCCTGTTTCAGAGCACTTCATAGATCATGGTTATTACTGGACAGGGCCGATCCCTGCAGTGACTGGTACCAGCATCTGAGGCCAAGAATAACACTGAGCATATCTGACTGATCAAACCACTGACACTATCCAGAGACCTCAGCATCTCTTCAAGAGGGGGTTAATAGTACTGCTCACTCTGATTGAGAAGTCTGATTTTATTTGAATCTGATTTAACAGGATGTCCAAAAACTAAATACAACACAAGTCTTAAGGCCACTTTCAAGCTATATGGATGTGGAGCAGGAAATCCAGCTTTCTGTTCATCTACACTCACACTTTATAGAGAACACCTGTAGGCTACACCTGCGTATTCACACATTACCTCATCAGCCAATCGTGTGTCAGCAGCTCAGTGTATAACATCCTGCAGATACAGGGCAGGAGCTTGAGTTAATGTTCACATCAAACATCAGAATGATTAAAGCATGTGAGCTCAGTGAATTTGACTGTGACACGATTGTTGCTTTATTCTGAAACAGATGCCCTGCTGAGATTTTCACACTCAACAGTCTCTAGACTTTTTACTCAGAAAGGAACCAAAAAGCAAAAACCATCCAGTGAGCAGCAGTTCAGAGGAGAAGGGTCAGACTGGTTGGAGCTGACGAAAAGGCTTCAGTCACTCAGATTATCACTGTTTACAACTGTGGTGAGCAGGAAAACATCTCAGAGTGAACGTGTCCAACCTTGAGGTTAGGGTTAGGATGGTTTATAACAGAACAGACACATTTCTGAAACTGCAGATGACAGAGTCACAATCTGAAGTCAACGGCATGAATTCATGAAGACCTGCTTTGCGTCAAAAGTCCAGACTGCTGCTGGTGGTGTGATGATGGGGGGAATGTTTGGGCTAAGAAAAAAATCATGATGTAAAATATTTGTATTGGCTAACAATAATATCCTGTAACATAGGACGGACATACATTTCAACTTCAGTATAGGAGGAGCATAGTAAAAACACATTTCACCCGAGTGTTGTGATAAATGTCAACGCTTCTGCATAAACCGTGCATAATGAGAAATGCTCATGCTTCCTATTCAAGATATTTTATTTTAATCAAGAACATCCTATCTTGATTTTAGGTCAGCCCCACATGCATTGTCCTGCATGCCTCAAATCACTAGAGCAACAAGTGTGTATAGATCTGCTGCTGAAAAAACAATTTCCTCCTTTTTAAGTAATGTTTCATAAAGGGTATTTACTGTGCCCAACTGCCTTTATTAGAAATGTAGGGCTTGTAGCTGAGGGGTAAACATGATGGAAAGACTAAGTCTTGTCATTTTGTTTCATTCTTTGCAGGTGCACAAGGCAGGCTGGGGGGGGGAGTATTTGCTCAGAGTCACGGCAACAGCAACACAAAGTCAGTAGAGAGACACGCTGCAGGGTAGGGGAAGCAGCGACGCTGTGAGTCATAGACGAAGGGAAGCCCCTGGCTAACGCACAAGTTGAGCTCAGAGGAATTTTATTGATTCACCACAAGAGACTGGCAGCTCTGCCTGTGCGCCAAAGGCTCCACAGCAGTGGGTTGCTTTGGTTTGCCCCCAAAAAAAAGCACAAATCCCCCTTGAATCAGTCACACTGAGTCTGAGACACACATCTGATTGTCTCCTGCTGCAAAGGCTGCGTTACTTCTAACACAATGTCTGTGTCTTGTTTGGGGGCTAACGTGAAAAACAAGTGCTTTAAGGTCAAAGCACTTCCATCTCTTACTGTGACGTATTGTAAAGCAAATCATAACGGGAACAGTGGACTTCAAGTCACACTTGTTTCTGGTACATGTATTAAGAGTAATGAGTCATAGCTGAATAATTATCAGATGACTGATCCATACAACGTTGGGTAAGTAATCCACCCAGTGAGCTCTGTTTCATTGAAGAGTAAAATACCTCACTAATGAGTAGAGACCTCTTCGACCCCAGATTTCTCCGTCCCTTAACAACTATTAGAGCAAATTCTTCTTGAATTAGTCACAGGTTTCCACTTGGAGCCTTAAATGCACTTGTCTCGTCTGTGTGTATCATCTGGAGATGGCAGCCCTGATGGGGAGGGAGGATGGTTCTTTTGGTGTTTTCCTCTTTTGTTTAAACTGCTGTTGTTCAGACTTAAATTAAAGATTATAAAAAAATTTAAAACCGCTGCATTTTTGTGGGCCATTTTTCCTGCATCTTTCCCTGTCGCACATCTTCATCAACACATGCACTCTGCCTCCCGTTCCTGTTTTCAGCTGCTGCCTTTTTCTTTAAATCCTTAAGTGCTCAGAGTGCCAGGACTCTTGCCACGCTCCTTAATACCCATCTCCCCCTCCTTTCAAACATGAGACAAAAAAGCTGTGCAGCAGTGCAGCCGAACGCTCAGCTCGTTACCATGGTGACCTTTAACAATGCCACCCACCGGCCAATCCCCGGTGCCGGCCCGCCACCTTTTAAATGAGGTTCAGACGCTTTACATAAATGAAGGTCGCGGGAAAAATAGGTCAACAGAATTTCATGAGGTACTGGGGGTCGAGCAACCCCCACCCAGCTCACACACCCCACGAATGGTGCTGCACTGGCTGCACATTCATCACACATGAGGGAGCTGTGAGGAAACGAACCAATTAGATCCTGTTAACTTAGTTTAGTGAGTTGTAAACACACATTTAGCCATGTGCTGTGCTCGAGATAAGACCCACCTGCTCATGAAACCCCACAAATCATTAGGTAGGGTTACTGACACACGATCACATTAAAGTGCAGAAATAATGATAATAAACTTCGATTTAAAGATGGTGTTCTTGCTTTTCAGTCAATAGCAGTATTTGTTTTTGGTTAAAGAAATAAAATGCATCCTCTGGTTCCATCATTTACCAATCACTTTAAAGGATGTTTAATGGAAAGAACTTTCTCAATCGCAGAGGAAAAAATGAGTAAAAGAATTATTCCATTATTCCATTATTCTTCATACACGTTGGTGACTAATTTCTAACCTGCTATGCATTGACTTAAAGACTCTTTGAAAGAATGGACTGTGAATAAGTCATCAAACTATCACAGTGTGTATGTGGAGTGGTTCTCAACACACAGTATAAATACAGGGTGTACACATGAACGTGCAGGGCTGCACACATGCACTTTAAGGTTGTGGATGGAGTTTGAATGTGTTCCTACTGTGATGTACAAAGTTTTGCGCTGCAGGGTACTGCCCCACCGAAGATGATGACTTACCCAGTTTGAACATCATCACAGTGATCAGCACCGTCCTCTGATATCTGGACCAAAGTCTTCCAAACTCCATAGTAAAGCAACCTTGTTTCCAGTCAGTGCAGAACAACGCCGTCAATCCGCAGGTTCTCCATCCAGCACACTGCGGCTCTCCATCCAGGCTGCTCCGCCTCAGCTGCTCAGAGTGAGCGGCAGCACCTCCATGCCGGACCACTGGGACCCTGTGCTTGAGTGTTTGTGTGTGTGTGTGAACGTGTGTTTTGGAGAGGGAGTGAGTCTCTCAGGGGACCAAGCTTGGCTGGAGTAAAGCACAGTAATCACCCCAGCAGAGGGTGAGGGAAGGAAAACGTGGGACGGATGACTGGATTAGACCGGTTCATCCACCGCTCCACTGGTTGTATGGCATCTCTCACTCTGTAACAAGAACTGAACACACTGTTTACACAGACAGGTTTTCACATCGACGTTTCCCACAGCACACACGCATGCCCCTTACGTTGCTTTTAAAACTAGATCGATCACAAGTACCTTCAACTACTACTAACATTTCTATTTACTTGATTTTT